TCCAACATTTTGGTTCGCAACAAAAACCATGGGAAAGTGCTGATTTTTTCTAATAAGATGCATACTTGAATGCATTTCCCTCATGTAGATCAGCGCTTCTGGAGGAGATGATATGGCGATGATTCTCTCATTCTCAATTTGGACATTGAAGCACTTCTTACTCAAGAAGTTGTCGAGATGGTTGAAAAGGGGGTATTGTGAGGGAGAGGTCCAGTGAGTACGATGTGTGGAGCGAAGCTTCGTACGCTAGTTCGTTCAATACTTGCGAGGTTGTTTATGGGATGTGTGGTTGAGAGCCACCATGGAGAAGAGTGGGTTTACTTCTCCCGATTGACGAATGGCTTCGTCCAGTCGCACAAGTCCAGTTTCCGCTGTAGGTGACAACGCATTCCAAACTATGGTAGTTTTTGATACGTGAAATGGGTGGAAACGACACCCTAAAGAACGGTTCCGCTGCTGCACAGTCAGCTCATGCGGTAACCCAGTTGTTCAGCTTTTTCACCTTCACAGTTATCTTCGCAAGCCATAATACTTTCCGTCATAGTCCGGAGTCAGCTTCTTCGGGAACTTCAGAAAGCTGTCGTCAACAGCACAAGCATGCTCATGACTCCCCTCACTTCACTATGGAATTCTTCTAAACCAAAATTTTGGAGCCAAGCTGTGCTGTGCTTTTATTGGTGCTTCCTTGGCCCCATCCTTCAGTGTTATTTCGACAGGTCTATGGAGCACTGCTTCAGAGTTTCATCGCACGAAGAAAACTTGCCCAAACCACTGTCTTGACACCTTCAGTTCAATCTATAAAAAACCCCAAATAACAAGTCAAACTGAAATCAAAGCTAAAGGAAAGAAGATGGAATAAGCTTGCCAATGATATAGGGCTTCAGGTCACAAAGGAAATTTTAGTGCAAAAATATTCCGAATACGCGTGACATCTCAAAGCCCACATTACTTTCCAAATCCTAAACAAAGCTCAGAACGGAAAGATCTGCAGGCTTTTTGGCGTTATCAAATACTGCAGCGGCAAATGCGTCATCCACAGAACACGGTTTGAAAGGAAGCGTAATATGAAGGGATAATCGGAATATATTATGACTATATGAGTTATCCTGGAGTAAGTAGGACTTGAGAAATCTTTTTTCAGCACAAGCAAGTCGTCGCGTAAACAACACACCTTTCAAATGAGATCATCGCATGCCGCATACCAGAGCGGAGTGGATCCCCGCCGAGTGTATCGCTTCCTATTTATTTCACTGAGACGACATGTTCCAGAACCATATTTAGGGTTTCTGAAAAAGTTCCTCGGTACGGCAAGAAGGTTACGATCTTCCAAGTAGTGAGAGCTCGCATGTAAATTTCATTTCCTCGACAATTTCCTCGACGTATCCCACTCTCGAGGTAACGGCCTGAAGAAAAGCTCTATACAATTTGGAAACTAGAGGTCTTGTGCATTACGGAATCTGCCTTCCTTTCTGAAAGTTGTCAATGAAGAAAGTTATAGGCTTCAATCAGGCGATGTGATCGGCGACTTT